AGAGAGAGAGAGAGAGAGAGAGAGAGAGAGAGAGAGAGAGAGAGAGAGAGAGATGGGGAGAGGGAGAGAGAGAGACCGACGAACGAGGGAAACGGCAAATTCGATGGCGACGTGTTCCTTTCTCGTGAGGAAGACGGATGGTGAAAACAGTGAGAGATAGAAAACAGGGCGAGAGAGCGATTACGCGCGTACACACGAGAACAAGACAGAAAGAGAGAGAGAAGTGGCGGCGGAGGTGATGCACAATGGAGAATCGCAATTGTGTGTATACACACAATGTGTAGGAGGCAAACGACGATGACGACGATGACGATGATGACGGCGACGTTGAAGAGAAGCCGCGATCTTCAAAAAGCGCGTCTCAAAGGCGTCGTGGTTTCGTGAATGCGCCTCTCACGACTGTCTTAAGATTCATTCATTCATCCGCCTCGGCTCATCGTCCACCTCCCCCCTCCCCGCCTTCCACGTGGAGCCGAAGGAGGTTGCTTTTTACACACACACCTTCACACATGCACCGCTCCGACACACGTGCGCACACATCGTCTACGCGATATCTGCACGGACCGTGGATTAAGCGTGTATTTATAAGGTGGATACTAAGCGCACACGGCTCAAAGCTAGCTCGTCTCTTTTCTCGCTTTCTCTCCGCCTCGTCCTCCCAGCTTCTTTCTCCCTTTCGCAGGTACAGACGCGATGTATACAGGGTGTGCTGAGATTAAAGGTGCAGATTCCTTACCACCACTCGACGACCCGAGAATAAAATGATAAAAACAGCTGCCGGCCGAGAGTGACCATCGACGTCTGTTCTCGCGGCTGCTTTTTAAAATGCAGACAAATGCTAAGACACGCACACCAGGTATGACAGAAATTATGTAATTACCTTGCGCGAATAACGCACGCACGCAGAAGAAAACATAAGCGATTTTGAGACGTGGCAACATGAAACGCGCTATAGGTCCCTTTCTGATACACTGAGAAAAAATGTTTAGTGTTTGTAATTATAATCATATAGAACAATAATTAGTATAAATTATGGCCAAGAAAATAATTTTATTTTATTAAATTCTACTATAATGTTAATGATAATAATCTTATATGCATATCACAACTACCATTTTCATGTTAGAACAACCAAAAAATATGTTTGTAGCCAAAAATAATTATAATCTGAGATCAACCATTTTTTTCTCTTAATGTACACACTAAAAAAAATATTTGGCACATTTGTAACTATAATTATATGAAGAAATAATTACTATAAATAATGGTCAAGAGAACTATTTTTTTTTATTAAGTTCTACTATAACGCGATAATAGTTTATATGTGTTTTTTTTGTGTTTTGAAATAACCAAAAAAATATGATTAGGACGCAAAATAACTATAATCTTAGTTTACTTATATCTTAGTTGGACCAACCATTGTTTCCTCTCAGTGAACGTCTGCTGTCGTCGAAGCGCTCGTCAAATGGCTAAAGTACGGCAGGTAATTGACGTATTCGTCAAGCCACTCGAGACACGCGTAAACGGAAGGACGAAAGCTACTTCTTTGAGCGACCCTGTACGTGCACGGATGCACGCCCGATGCGCCCGACGCATCGATGCGATACAGGCGCGAATGCGTCGTCGAAGCGGCTGATAGCGCGGCGGAGCGTTTATTTTAACTCCTTCGATATTCATGTGCCATATATCGCACATTGACTCGAATCTCGCGATGTTCTTGCGCAAAGGATGTCATTTTTTACACGCTAATCTCTCTATCCCACGAGACAATCATGATCTTTTTCTTACGGTACAGAAAAGAATTCGGTTGCACAAAACTCGTCGAAAAATTTCTCAGACGCCTGATAAGCCGATAAGTGAAGATTAAACAGACGGAATAAAACAAAGAGATCTGACAAAGACTATGCTATTGTTAGCTTATTCGCTTAATAAATGTCAAGCACAAGTTCTCTCAAGATATGATCGTATCGTGACGTTTATTCGCATTTTTACGCGAAGTCTAATTAAAATCATCCGATCGGAATTGATTATTCGAAGCAGAATTGCAAGTTGGCGAATTATACGAATGTTATTATACGTAAACAGCCATATATCTGGGACGGGATTTGCGATTATTATTCAAGGCGAAGCGAATGACAGTATGATATGCGAGGCTCTAGTTAACTGAGTCGGAGCGGAGGTCATCGTGTGGAGGAATAAAAATTCGAGATCAGCAAATGCATTCGCGCGACTCGCACGTAGCCGAACACGTGTATTCAATCTGCGCTACGTGGAATCGCGACTATAAGCAGTGACTACGCGGAAGACGTTGTGACACCTCGAGGTAGCCAGCTTAAATGAGATTAAAGTTCGTTTAAATATAATACATATGTAACTGTCTTATAGTAATAATAGCAGAACAATAATATCATTTTATGTCAAAGTTATTATTAGTCAAAGTTATTGTACATTAATTCAACCGAATCGATGCTTTGGAAAACAAGAACGATAAGGTCGTCCAGACTTCAAGACGGAAAGAAAAAAGTGTAACACACGGAGAAAATATTCTAGTAAAAATTATGTTAAAATTATATTTCTTTTTACAACGTTTTTTATAAAGTTAGATTATACTGAAATTATATTATGAATTTTTTAAAAAATAGTACACTGAGAAATAAATATTTGAAAATTTCTTTTTAGGATATAAAGTATATTTCCGCGAAAAAAAATAAATTTTGTATCTTCTATAAATAAATTATTTTTTTCAGTTTAATTTGATAAGTATATACTAAAAAAATATTTAAAAATTTGTTAGTGGGATATAAAGTTTATTCACAGAAATAAATTTTCAAGTATTTTTTCTCAGTGTACGAACTGCCGAATACACGATACGAAAAATATTGAAATAACTGTAATAATTTGCAGTAAAAAGTCAATCATGCATAATATTTTTAAACAAATATATAATAATTTCGATCACATGGTCCAAGATTGCAAAAATTTGATTGTAATCTTTATCACAATATCTTCTTTGTTTACGAATTATAGTTATAGGCTGTTCTTTCTTTTTTTGGCGTTTTTACCTAAATTTGGCGGGAAGAGCTGCAAATCAATAATTTTCAATTTAAGATATAAAAAGCGAAAGTATGAAGTTCGTTATGAACCTAATTTGGTGCTAATTTCGAAAGCAGCAGCTAGCCAGCTAAGGGCACACGTTTGAAAAACCCTTTTGCAACTAAAATGTACCCGCTCGCTTTCGAGCATTTTGTTTCAGCAATCGTGCAAAAGCACACGGATTGATCTACGAGGAAGATTTCGTAAGGCGCGAATGAATACAAAGCGAAGAATGCGATTGCTCATTGGCCGCGTGTGCGCGATCAATTCCGTGTAAAAAAACGATTGCGTGGATATCCCCGGCGGATTGCAACGGTGTTATGATTGCGAATTTATGTCAGGTAATGGCACATTGCATTACGACTCGCGGCACCTGCGATAATAATAGCGATTCCTGTAGCAATCAGCCTGCAACTTGAATACGAACGAGCCTGGTTAACGCCTGCGACCACGCGCGTGAAATATAAAATGACTATTAAATGAATTATGCGCGGAATGTCTACGGAATGTCAAGCGGTCGTCGTCGTGGTTTCTGAATTCTTTGCATTCCTAGCGTATTCGATCGCGTTACGTTTCATCGTCTCCAGCTATATTTCTAACAGCGTATTTCCACGATATCGAATACCGCGATTCGAAATTTCCAGGAGAAGAAAATTTCCGAAAGAAGAGGTCGGAGAAGTGTTCTTAGGAAAACAATCGATCTGAGAAATTATCACTTTCAATCGATATGCAGGACAATTTCAGCGAACGGTGATATGATACGATCAAACTGATTAAACTAATTTATTGTAAATTTGTGGAATTGTAGTGGTCTATTTGTTTTATCTTTTAAAGATATCCTTTTCTCATGCTCGGTCGAATGTCTCACTTTGTGATGGATATATCATTCTAAGACAATTGGAAGGGACTCTAATATAAAAATTAAGATAAATTGCAAAGGAATGTAAAATATGTAGATATTATTAGCAGTGACACTTAAATTTGAACGAAGAACATATTATACGTTACGTTATAGAATTACATTTCTTTTCTTACAATGTTTTTTGTAAGGTTGGACTATACTAAAATTGTATAAATCACAACAGAAACAGTAAATTCGACGATCTATATTTGGTTTATATAACGATATAAAAAAAGCATTCAAGTAATTACAATAATTTTGTATCAAGAAGTCAAACGTGCACAACATTTTTAAACAAGTATACAGTAATTTCGTTCCGAATATGGTTCCGAATTACGAAAAAATTTTGTTGTAATTTCTACTACAATTGTTGTAATTTCTACATTTTTTTTTCATGCATAACTTTAAACTTTCTGAAGTTTATAGACAAGACTATGCGACAAAATTAAACGGAACGAGATGCAACCATCTTTATAATCGTGTAGCACGGACACGTAGAATTAGCATAAGATGGAACGAATTTCAAGGAGTCGCCGCGATATCCGAGGATAGGTACTTCGAGAAAGAGGACACGTCCTCGGTACGTCTGCGCGCCGATTATCTTAAGATTCGCGCGAGTCGCGAGGAATTTCAATGGTATAAACTGACCTTGCACCATCGTCGCTGCTCTGGAGAGGACGTCCAAGGCACTCTCGACAGCGGACATATCCTCCCTTTTCTGCTAGTTTTCTGCTAGTTCTTCCTGCCTTTCCCTATTCGTCTTTCTTCCTTCTCTCCTCTTGTTTCCTTTTCTCTCTACTGTCCGTCTCTTGCTCGCCACCCCCGCGTGAGATTGGCGCGCACCCTGAAGAACGGCTCGCGAGTCCTCAGCTTCCTTCTCGTGCGTGCTTCTGCCACCTTCCTCGTCGTCCTCGCGGCAAGGATACGTCGTCCTTGGCCTGGCTGCGATGCGTCGTCGCGAAAGAAAGCGCTCTGTAGGGACAGAAGTCAAACTTTAACTGTTTGGGCCTTCTTCGCGGCCGAAGGCGGCGCAAATAAAGTAAAACGGGGATTAAAAAACGTGACATTGTCTGTGGAATGCGGACCCCTCACCGTCGACGCCCCCCCCCCGTCGCAGGCTCCCCGCCCCCACGACGCGGTTCAGAAGCCCCCTTCTTCCCCCTTGTTCCTCTCGCGAGGCCTCTTCTTGCGCCACGAATCTAGCGACGGGACCGACACGTTCGCGTGAGCCGCGTTATTACCGAACCGAATGCGCTAGTTGCTTTAAATAGATGCAGAATCGCTACCGCGACGATCCTTAATGGCACCCCTTGTGAAGAACTTAGAGTTAACTCTTCCTTCGGGTGAAATGCCGCGGCATGGTAATTTCCAAGTTATGAGCGGCTTCAGCTATAACTGTGGCTTCTGGTCAGTTAAGCTTTGAAAATATAAGTAGACAAGATAGCATGTTATTTCTCCCTTAGTTTACTAGATCAACTTTCCCTTAAGAAAATTCCACATAATAGCTGCAACTTCTAATATCAACATTTAAAAAGTTGCAACGAGTAACGGCTTCCCTTTCTCCTCGTCCCTATTTTCTCTTCCTTTTTCGTCAGTCTAATGAACGCACTGAAGAAATTTGCCAAAGAGAAACTAGTTGTTAGCGAAGAAAGGAGGCCTAGAGAATAGTAGCTGCTGTGTTCGCTCTCGCTGCGAGAGTAAAAAGACAATGCTTGTGAATCAACGAGAGACCGTTCAAACCCGTTACTACTTGTGTCACGGCCTCTCTCTTTCCTTCTTTCTCGTCTTCCTCGCGTGCTTTTCCCACCTCTCACAACACTACCGTACGCTCGACATCACGATTTCATCGTAACAATATAAACAACCTTCTATCAGTCTCCCTTCCGCTCCACGCGCTCTTCTTTCCGGTATTTTGGCTTTTCCCTCGCTCGTTCGAACGAGAACGGCAAATTTTTGCGGCGCGCAATGCATATGGAGCAATTTCGTTTTCTCTTGTAAAGATCTGACCACTTTACTTCCATTAATATTAATTTCCACTTACAATTTAGATCTACCGACATCATCAGTGATTCTTAAGTATGATAAAAAAAGAAAATACTACCATGACGCTTTATAAGAACTCATAATTAGCCCTGACACTTATGTTTAATATGATTTTTATATAATCTGAAAGCGAGATTTATCTAGCAAATAAGTAATATACTCGTTGAGACGATTATACGCGTCACGATCGGCTGAATACGGCAATGAAAGTAACGGCTCTTTTCTTTCATATTCATGAAATCTAATCTTCATACACGATTCGTATCGACATATTTATGTCGCTTCAATAATCTCTTCCTCTTACAAAAGTTACGTAAAAATTTTTTCTTCGACGAACTGAGTGAAAAACTAATCAGTTAATTTCTAAGCGAACGAAGATAAACATTATCTCGAAGGGAGGCATACGAATATTTCCGCTTCCTACAAAAAATTAATCATGAAGATACAAATGAGAAGATAAGTTAGGTAGACTAAAAGAGACTTGTGAAGAAAACTTCATGCTATAAAATTATACTTTAAATGCTTAAAATTAAAGATGAGTAATCTTGTTTGTTAATCTTTATATATATTTTCAATAAGATTAAATATTATATAAAATGTTGTAATTAAATTCGTATGTAGAGAACAAAAAGATCCGCTGCAATATTTTTCAATTTTTTTTATAAAACTTAAGCTACTTAATTTCGCTAAAAAAAAATAAAATGAATAAAGAAATAAGAAAACAAAAAAAAATTTTAGAAAATTCTAAGGATAATTATAAGAATAATATTAATTAGGATAATTATAAGGAAAATTCTAAAGAAATATTATCCTTTTAAGAAATATTCTTCTAAAATTCAGAAAGATTATTAATCCCTCTGGAATTGTGGAAGATTAGGAACTTACAACTCGGCGAGACGAATCATTGTAATTATTACACATTTTCCATGCATTCGGTGCGAATTCCTTTACGTGTATTTACGTGTTTTCGCGGCACCGCCCGTTTCCGTGTCGTCATATTTGCCGAGTTACTCGTGTGATAAAGCGATCAGATAAGGAAAAGAGGATGAATCTGGTTACAAAGGCATGCCGTTGCTCGGCCGTATCCCTTCCTCTTGCTTTCACGAGTAGCGCACGGTGTACAGGGACCTCATGAATCACGCTTCGTCAACCGCGTGCTATTTAAACGAAAGGACGGCCCAAATAAAGTGTACCGCGCGATCGAAAGTCCCAGGCGATGTCATTACGCGCCTTCGCGCGAGTACGCCGCCGGTATGAGAGCGTCGGAATTCGGACGCGTGACTCCTTTTCAGTACAACCCTGTACACGTAACGCGCAAAAAATTTAGCTGTAATTCACGTGGTTATTTTCACACGTTTCTTTTCTTTTCTTCCAGTTTATTCTCCCTCTCTCTTGTCTCGAGCTTGTTGCAAAAGGAAGCAGTCCGATTCTTACGCCGTTGTCTTTGATCGAATTGGCGGTGTCACTCGCACAGCCGTCCA